CTCTCTCCCTCTCTCTCTCTGTGGCATTGTCACTTGAATCAGAAGTTGAGTGCTGGCTAAGTGAAGGGGTACACAGCGAGTCTGCTCTAGACAGGCCTGAGTGGTGCTGCACTGCTTTGCTGCCTTTCTCCACAGAGCCTTGATTCAGCCCCCACTGATAGGGGACCCAGGCACACCCCCCCCCCCCCCCCCCCCCCCTCCCTCCCACTCTCTCCTCGTTTTCACTCATTCAATCCCTCCTTGCCCACTAACTCGCCCACCCTCTTGTTAAAACACACACACACACACACACACACACACACCAAAAAAACAAACCACTCAGTCATCAACTCTCTATGAGGACACAGGTGGAGATGGGTGGACAGCGCCACTCATATGTCCCCTCCCTACATTTAACTTCATTTTGATTATTTACATTATTTATCGGCTCCAACACACAAACACACAGGTGAGATATAATAATTGGGGTATAATGTTATTTGAACAACAGTGGACACTTCATTGCTTTAAAATGGGCAGAATCCCAGTCTGCACTGTAGAGGACCACCTCTCTTACAAACTGCCTGCTTGTTTTGCACCACTGAGTGTGATGTGGACGAGGACAGAAATTTGGTCATTATCCAAAATAATAGTGTCCAATAACTCTGATAACCATGCCACAAAAGTCGGGGGAAAGCACTACTCCAGTGGCTGTGACTTTCATATAGGAATCAAAATGGCGTTGCAGGGAGGGACAACAGACCTGATATCAAAATAAGAAATAATGCAGGAGAATTATAGTAAAGTTTGTTATTTGGGAGGTCTTTGTTGCTCAGAAGCGTCGCCACAGACCCTCATAAAAATGAGGAGAGACAAATGTCAAACCTGTTATTGACTGTGGTCTGATGCGCCAGTTCCTGAACAAAAGAAAGCCATCACTGCGCCCTATATTGAAGGACTTTGGTGTCGGCTGCAGCCCCCCTTGCAGCTGGACTCACACCTGGTCACACGGCAGCCACTTACACCCCTATCCGAGATATGGTGATCAATTTTCTGATCCGGTATCAGAATCCCTGATCTTTGGAGGTGTTGGCAACTTTCCTGACAATGGAGCTCGAGTGGCGACTGCCATAGTGACAGTTATAAGCAATTCTGTCCAAAAAGCGGCAAACACAGCGGAGCCACCCACCGTATTCCCCCCCATATAAACCCATATTATCGTCCCAAGTGTCACCCGTAACTTAGATATTGTGACATCTAATTTATAGCAGGTTTAACACTAAATAATCTCGACCACGTCACTCAAAGTCAATGGCCGGACTGTGTTAGTTGGGAAAATGTATCGATGTATTAAAAGCAAAAACGGAATCCGACACCGACCGAACCGCGTGCATCCGCTCGAGCATAGATTCAATTTCGATATGCATTGGATGATTTTGTCCCCGGTTCCGTCTGTTTGGGTCAATTTAACGCGAATTGTGCAAAATTGTTCACAGCACGCGTTACTTCCAGCGGGTTTTCCTGGAATAAAAGTTGTTCGCCGGCGCGGATGAAGGAAAACAAGTGTGTTCCCGGGAAGCCCAATGTCCCTGCTACCAGCCCATAATGTTTTGTGGATCAGTTCTCCGCCGTAGCTTTTATATTTGTCAGGAGTTGGAGGATGAAGAAACACAAACGGGACGACGCCAGTTCCATGGAGTCCGCTAGATCAGCTGCTGGCAGTTGGTGTTCTCAATCACGTCCGCAGAAAGGCTTCATAGGCTCACTGGAGCGCCTGTGGAATAAGACACTTAAGTGATCCGGTGTACTGACGCGCCACTTTGTGTGGACAATTATAACAACATTTTTTTTTACTATATAAACAGTTAGTGTGACATTGTTCACCAGCTCGGACTTTCTGGGGGAAAGCTTTATTTGCGGCCGGCTTTATATTGTGCTGTTTCTGACGCTCCGGTGTATCAGCTGAGTCGGGTGAAATTACACCTCCAGGACTTTTTTTTTTTTTTTTTTTTGGTCAACTTACTCCAAAAGAAAAAAAGTCACCATGGCAGAGACGTCGGCAGCTCCAGCCAAAGCCAAAAAGGCATCCAAGCCCAAGAAACCTGCTTCTCATCCCAAGTACTCGGACATGATTAAAGCGGCAATCGTCCACGACGCCAGCCGGAGTGGAGCGTCCCGGCAGTCCATCCAGAAGTACGTAAAGAAGAACTACAAGGTGGGCGACAACGTCGATGTGCAGATTAAATTGGCCCTGAAGAGGCTGGTGGCATCCGGGATGCTGCGCCACACCAAAGGTATCGGTGCGTCCGGATCCTTCAGGCTGACCAAACCAGAGGACTCCAAAAAACCAACCAAGGCAACGGCAACTATCACGCCAAAGAAGGCGGCGAAGCCCTCCAAACCCAAGAAGGCGGCCAAGCCCAAGAAGGTCCCCAAGACGCCGGAAAAACCCAAGAAGGCAGCTGCGAAGAAAGTGAAAAAGGTCGCGAAAAAGTCGACGCCAGTGAAAGCCAAAAAGGCACCAGTTAAGAAGCCCAAGGCAGCCAAGCCCAAGGCGAAACCAGCAAAGAAGGCAGCCAAGCCCAAGGCGAAACCAGCAAAGAAGGCAGCCAAAACAGCAAAAAAGAAGTAAAAGGACAATATCAGAGAGACAAAGTCGCTGTAAATACTTAAAGAAATGTTTTTCGTATATGTATTATTTTTGTAAGGTCTCATGCAAACTTATGCTGTTTTTACCAGTAGTTTTTTCTCTCCATTGCACTATTGCCTCTAGATGCTGTAGAAATAATTGTGAGCAATTTTATTTGGCGTTAATAATACTGTTAATTTCTGCCCGATCCTTGGATACAAATAGTCTAGGGTCTTGCTGAAAAAAAAAATGTATATACAGTTGAACTATTGAATAGTTATTGTTATGCACGGGGTCATACTGAAAGTACAAATGTGTCAATGGTGGGCATTGTTGAGTCTTTACAATGTACAGACCATAGGCAGTGGACGTCAGCAAGATTTTCCTAAAGGCTCTATAGTTGTCATTCAAGCTTCATTCTGTATAATTCCTCATGTTCAGACGACTCATAATATACAAACATCTCATTGTGTTCAGTCACTTTTAAAGACTGTTTATACTGCAATTCAATAAACCTTTGTCATCTTCTACTAAATCTATTCGTCAACTTATTGCGCGCATTTTACGCGTGCGTAAAATGCTCGGTTAAGTGGACGGAGGAATTTCTGTGCATATGAAAGATTAATAGGCCTAATGTAATCTATTAAACAGAGCAATAACACTGCCTCCTCCATTTGTGATATATGCATCTTGGTGAAGTTAAGCCTCTTTAGCCCCGCTGCATGAAATCACAGCTTTTCTGCTCCAGGATGTTGCAGACAAAGCCCACCTATGGGAGCTCCAGCGAGAGGGATGATATTCGGATGCAGAGGCTGGTAAACATGGTGCACATGTAACAGTAAAAAATAGTGACCTGGGAAGAGTGCGAGTTGTAATGTAAGTTAAACTATGAAATGGGCTCTACAGAAGTCCCATGAAAAGCAGGTAGTTTTAAAATATCACCAAGTATCAATATCTAGAATCGTGCACTGAGTTACCTTACAGCAGTTTCACCGAGCGGTCATGGGGGCAGACAAGGGCTTTGTAGGGCACTTTGGTGATTTTAAGTAAAACCCTGTATAGCTTAAAGATTCTATTGGGGAAATAAAATCATACAGAAATATAGTCCCTTAAGGGAATATGATAGTGGTAAACAAAGACAAAACATTCATTTAATGGAGAGGGAAAAAAATGAATAAAGTTTTTTTTTTTTTTTTTTTACAAAACTTGTCTAAAAATCTCCGTTTGCAAACAAAACCTGTCCAGAGTGTTTTATATTAGGGTTAATTTATAGCAATAATTCACTATTTCCCCCCGGTTGTCCTTGTACATAACACTACACTCAAAATCCCAACATCCTCTCTCCTTACAGTGACTGCAGAGCAATGAGGAGGCGGCTTTGCAGACACACCCAGGGCTCACTGTCCTGCCTCTCACCTGACAGGCAACAGCGCCATCTTGTGGTCTTTTGCAGGAACAGGCGACTCGCCACTGCAGTTAGGACAGACACCGGCAGCCCACAAGACCGAGTCACACTGATGAAAGTCAAGATTGCACTCAAATTACCTTCTGCCTTCTATTCATTATTATCTTTAAATACAGGTGTAAGATCTTCAAACTAACCTCGTCAAACAGCTTCAGGCTGAACCATCAATACAGAGCATCCAGACCCGTACGGGCATGCTGTTCTTGCTTTTTGAGATGCTACCTGCAAAATGGTAGTAATTGGTGCTGCTTCAACTCAATAATCCATCATAAATTCTGTCATCACAGCAGAATACAACCACTACTTCTGGCAACACACGTTTTGTGATTATGATGATAAGGTGAATTATAGCAACACTGTCTCATTTGAGTTGTACACACTCAAAGAACCACGGAGATTCAAACAGAATGTGTGTGGTCAAGTCTGATACTTGAGGATGGAAAAAAAGGCAAAGAATGTCTAAAATATTTACATAAAGCATAGAGCATTTCACACATCTTTCATCCAAACAACCATAATGTCTTTTGGGAAAAGGTCCCCACCCAGTCTGGTCTGGTCTTTTATTAAGCATCTAAGTCAGTTCAATTTCAAGTAAGAAAACAGCCATATTTTAAAAGTCACACAAGTGTACTCTGCAGAAAAAGCAGGTCCCAGCTGAATTAAGCAACAAAACAGACATTAACATGACTGACTCATGTTGACAAAACATTTCAGTGGCAGATTATGTAACAAGGTCAAAGTGTATGCACAGTGTCAGGTGTATGTAGATTGAACAAAAGTAATTAATTTGATTTCAGTGTGAACAGAGGGAAAATGAGCGGAAGCAGGGATACATTTGACCACACTCAGTCATTTGTAAGGTTTTTTGCTCGGCCTCCTTTTATAGGAGAAAATAATTATGTTCTAAGTTCCTGCAGATGCATAAACAAACCACCATTTTTCTTCATGCACATCTCTCTCTCTGCCACAGCTCAGCCTTACAGCTAAAAACTTTAAATATGCCTAAGGGGCAAATAACATGCTATGACTACTCATTGCTGCTGTAGTTATTTGGCAAATCGGTCATGAACCATCATGTATCTGTGGTGGCATGGTCAAAGTAGAGTACTACTAGAGTATTGTTCATTGAGGAGTTCCAGCTACAGATTCAGTGACAATCAGGATGTTTGCTGTTAAAAAAGCTTCATGTGCTGCCCTTTGGTTCTTCAGTCTAGTCAATTTGGCTTTTTTTATATATTATGCCTACGAGACACTGCATGTATATAAAAATTCTCCAATCTCACCATTAACACCTAACAGGGGAAAGAAATAGATTAGACGCAACCGTCTTCGTGCATTTCTAACCCCTCTGATAAAGCACCTGTTTGGACACGAACAGTCCTTCATGTATCAATGTACCGAGCACTGGCAGGCTAACTCCTACTTAGGTCGGTTGAACAATATAAGGCAGAAAAAGCTGGGCACAGCAGCGGGGAGAACAATATGATCACTAGCTTTCCAATGGCCTTTGGACTATTGCGATCACTTGACTCAGTGGGTAGGACAAAATGAAGAAGTCAGGTAATGACAAAGGGCAGAGAGATGAAGAGTATCCTGGAAGCCTTCAGGGTGAAAAGTAAAATGATGCAAAGTATGTCTAGTTCAGACAGCGGTGGTTCTGGATCTGGTCTCGAAGGTTTGGTCTGTATGGATGAATGGAAGCGTGGGGAAAAAAACCTCAGCTGGTTGTCGATCATTTCAGTCTGGCAATGGCTCTGTAGATAGCAAAGCCCAGGACTGCAACCACAGCCGAGCCCAACGTCACTCTCAGCCAGAATGATGTGTTGCTCATGTCTGAACCATTCAGGTGTCTGGAGATTGGAGGGAAAAAAATCAGTCAGACAGAGCAACACGCAGCTAATGCCACAAGCAAGACAAATGTCTGAGCTTAATATTTTACAGGTTTTAAACGTAGGATTTGATCTAAGAGCAGTAGTTGGTTTAACTAGAACATACGGGTACATTGCTGCCCAGGCAAGCCTGGTGGAGATGTTCTTGCTGGTGGAGTCAATGAGCAGGCTGGAGAAGGGCAGCGGTGGAGGCAGTCGGTGTTTATAACAGAACTCTGCTGGGGTCATCCCATGGAACTGCTTGACCTCAGGAAGGTCCACCTTGGAGGCGACCAGCACACATGGGATGTTGCTCTCCATGTAGTGTTGCTAAGTAAGAAATGGTATAAAGAGTGATAGAGAGTTATTTCAACACATAAATATGAAAAAACTGGAAACTTTTATCATGACGCATATGGACACGGATCATTCGTAAGTTTGTAATGTCAAATGTTTATTTATTTATTGCTGGAGACACCCATTTTCTTCAGTGGGTATCAAGAGCCTGACAATAAGCAAGTAAAAAATAATGGGCTCCATGTTACTGTTTACTGCTAAGTAAATAAGACGATTTTAACTTAACACCTTCACCAGGATAAAAACTGATTCAGGAATATTTTTTGGGAAGTGGTTTAATCCCTTTATAATTCTTTTGACAGATACAATTTGGCATGTAAACAGTCCTGATTACTTTGTATTTCCAGAAGATCTTTAATTAGTCACACCACTGTCTAATAGCTAAAAACTTTCATTAGATGTATCATTTGGACTTTTTTGATTTGTTAGAAACAAATTCAAATTATGTTTTTATTACATCAATGTAATTGTATATTTTTAATATAATGGATTATCTAACACCGGCAATCTTCAACTCTCCAGAATTTGCTATTGTAATTACAAAAACAAGTGATAGAAACTGCTAAAGGCAACAAAGTGAGCAGTGATACTACATTAAGAACTAGGTTGACTGTGTGCAAACACCAGCACAAAGAGTGTAAAGAAGATGGGCAACCTTCGTGAATAACACTGGTATTATTCTTTACATGCACCTGTAACATTTCCTGTGACTGACCTTGTATATACTGGCACAATAGTCGAAGGAATGTGGGTCACTGGTGTCGTACATGAGACAAGCAACATCACAGGAGGCGTCTGATGCCTTCAGGAACTCCACCTCCACATCCACCTCATTGAGCTACACAGGGATGAGAAGAGTGTAATGCTCAGGCTTCAGTCGGGGTCACAGGTTAAGGGGCAGCATTAAGACGAGGATGGGAGCTACTCACGATAAGATACTTCTCTTGTTTGCTGACTTGGACAGTGTTTATGGCATAGGGGGAGAAGGCACTGCTGGAATTTTCCTTATTCTGTAGAAGGCAAAAGCGAGAAAAAGAACAGCCATTATCAATAGTGATCATGCAGACTAGCCCCTGTTTATCACAGTTTAATAATGCAACATCTCATATTTTCAACTCCAGACTAGCAGATGGTGACATACCACAACGTTGCGGCCCACAAAGGCCTGGAGGAAGGCTGTCTTGCCTGTACCCCGCGGTCCGATCACCTTGCAGAGAAACACTGTCCGCTGTGTCTGGCACTTCTCCAGGTCCACCTCTTTCTCCCGTGTTACTAAACATACAAACACAAAATATAAACACAATGCATGCAGGCAGCCATTCTGTCTCTCTATTAGCCTAGCTTAGCTACATGAACATAGCTGAACCCCTGCCTCGCTTCCCCCAAACAGTAAAATTGAAATGGTCTTTGATTTTCAGTACAATACACATCATTTGTGAGCTCATCACTGGCCCAACATTGTCATTAAAAAGGCCAAAGCAGAGGATGTAACTCCACCAGCTGACAAAGATCAACCTGTTACAGGAGCTGTTGTTTCATTTCTTTTATATGGCAATAAATGGGTCTGTTCTCTCCTGTTTCATCACTGTTTTGGTTTGTCTTGGCCACCAAAACGAACATACAGCTTACAGTCCAGCCTGTAGAAAATATCACTTATTCAGACCTGTTTATCTTCAAGGATTTCTAGCTGCTGCATCTCAGATCTGATCAATGCAACTTGTGAATAACGTGTTGATATAAACAATAGGAGTGATAGCAAATAATAAGAAAATAAGTGATTTCCCTCTAAGCAAGTCAATCTGGTTTGTCAGATGATCAGTAACCCACTCTCTCTGGATCTAAAATGTATTGTAGCAAAAAAGACATTTTACATAAAGGCTACTTAATTGCATGACATCTATTTAACACTAACGGGAAATTTGTCTATATATTGAGTAACTTAAACTGACATCTAGTGGCAGTTAGGGGATATAATGCAGGTGCACATCACACTGGTGTATGTGCAGGGTATGCCATTACCGTTTGCTTAGGTAGGTAGGTTTCAAGTCAGCAGGACATAAGACTATTAGTCATTAGTCAACACTTACTAGAAAATAAAATAATTGAAAATAAGAGAAACAAAATCTTGGATCCTAAACACTAATGGGCCTGAGGGTAATGTCACAGGAAAGTTGAATGTTATCACCAAAAGAAGGTTTATTGTCTGTACAGTCAATATTTTAGGCTATCTGGGACTACAGTGGAGCCAGAGAAGCTGTCAGACTTCCACTATTCATCAGTCTAAACTGTACTTTGCACTCAATGAAAAATTAGAAATAATCTCAGGATTGGTACTCTGGAGGCAATGAATGTCTCTACCAAACACTGTAACAATGAATCCTCAGGACCAATGTATCTGACTGATAACCCAACTAACAGGTGATTAGAGCAACAGACTGACGTCTCCTTTATTAGAGCGATACTGCTAGCACGGATAAAAATACATTTAGAATTTACAACAATACTATTTAATGAGAGTGACTAGGCACCATAATACGCAGTGGCTAAACACATGCTACAAACAGTGACTAATCCCCTTGTTAAAAGATCTGTGTTGCTCTCTGGCCTCTCTCACATCTACAGTAGAGTCAAATAAACGTGCTCACCTCTGAAACACAATGTGTGTGATTAGCAGCAGTGAGACATATTAGATCACACTGTCCAAGCTTTCCTGACTAACTGTCCTCAGACTGCTATTAGTTCTCTCTCACACACACACACACACACACAGTGTGTCTGTACAAACACACTAATAACATGTGCACCCACTCATTTATATCAGTAATTATTATTACCTTAACTAATGCTCACAATAACAAAATGTACCTCATATGTGGAGAGTACACTATATTTCAAACCATGCATGCGTAAATGTTTTGGCACATATGCATATTACAGACTCCCAATTCAAATTCCATTCCTTCATATGTCAAGGACAAATGTACATGTATGTAAATCTATTAGGCTGCAGTGGACAGGATTAAAACTAATAATCCTCCTACAGAACAGTGCTTAACTATGAGGTTGGGATTTAAGTTGTCAAAGAGGATGTACAGTATGGCTGCCATGTTCCATGGGGAGATCTCGACCTTTCTAATATAGATGCTGTTGGTTGGGAAGATCCATCACACACAGACACACACACACACACACAGACACACAGACACACCTGTGATTGCGGCAGTCTGTGAGTCCTGCTCAGTGAGGATAGGGTAGCCTAGGTATCCTAGGTGTTCCAAGCAACGGTGGATGTCAAGGTAAGCAGAAAGCCTGCATGTGAAGGGATTGACATACATGTGACCTTGGAACAGTGCAGATCAGACATTGCTAAACATAAAGTGCACAAAAGTGTAAACCTAGTGCATGCTTACAATCGAGTGACATACTCACGTCCACTGACAGAGGTAGCCGTGCCTAGAGATGTAGCCCTCGTCTGTGGTTGGGACAGTCACGTAGACCTCTGCTCCCCATGGCATATAAGGACAGACGCAAAACAGGTTCCTAAGCTCTGTCGGTGACAGGGCAGAGTCTTTGTCCTACGGAGGAAAACAGGTCAGTTCTTTTAAAAAGGTAATCCTCCATAATGGTTATTATTGAATATGCCACGGTGAAAACTGAGAGCCACTGCTGAAAATGTCCTGTCCAGTGGGACATTGTGACCAAAGTTGGCTGGAATTCCTACTCACTTCATCGTACTTGTCAAACAGCCGCTGGAGGAACTGGTGACCGAAATGATTGAGCTCTGTGGTGCAGTTGATGGGAACTCGTAGTCTGACAACATTAAAAAATTTGATATTTAGATACCTGGACATTCCTGACTAGTGTGTACAAACATAACACAGACAAAGCCAAATGGAAACACAGAAGAAATACAGCAACTCTGAGACAGACGACATAGAATAGAGGGACAGGAATCAATAACAATACAACCTGTTAAATAGCTAAATAGCTATCAGCAATATAAAAATGTACAACTGAACTGACTGAGACACTACAATAGTGTCACAACACATACTCAGGGTAAAGGTAATCATCAGTCAGCTCAAGGTTGTCATCATAACCAAACTTCCTGAGGATAGTCCACGTGGTTTCATGTCGGCCCCTCTGGATAAATAATGTATTAAGGAACAAGAAACCTGAAAAAGAAGAGACAGAATACTTGGCCATTAGTTGAGTGTGGCCTTGCAACAACATGGTTTTGAGTTTCATGTTCTCATTCATGCCTGACTTTTACCATTTAGGGTCAGCCCGTTGTCCTGCACCCCATCACTGGTGTTCTTCCAAACTACTGTCTTCACATCTTCTAAGGCTTGAGGTGCCAGAGGATTCCCAAAACAAGATTTCTACACATAAAGATGGATGTTTGTTCTTATTTTTATTCAAACAGCTTTGTTTTGGATAATAACCAAGAACACAACATTTTAATTTGAATTTAATTTTCACTGGCACCTGAAAGCAGTTGAGTTCAGCGTCACTGAGGATTCGGTCGTTGTCCTGATCGGAAATGTAGAATATTCGGCTAAGGGCTCGGACACACAATGGTTTTAGCTGGGGAAAAACATTGAAGGACAAAAATCAACCAATCATTTATATGCACATGTGTAAACAAGTAGTAGTGGGTCAGACGAACAAGCTGACTCGACAGTTGGCATCCCATTTCCAAAAATGGCTGACCTGTTTGTCCTCAGGGTCGTAAAGAGGTGCAGTGGGGTGAAGAACTGCCTTCTGTGCATAGTAGAACAGCTCTGAAATGTTTTTCAGGTTCTTTGCAGAACACTTGAAAGAGAACAACAGCAGAGAGAACCTTTCAGATATAATTATCTAAGCAATCTAAAAGCCAGATAAAAGTGTCCATGTGTAAATATTTGTGTGAAACCCCGGCAACTGTGTGTGTATGTCAACGGTAAGGTTAGCATGTGTGTAGACTGCAGCGATTAGCAAGAGTGTGAGAGGGTTCAGCTTCACCTCAACACATGTCTCAATCTCAGAGAACTGGTTCATGATGGGAAGAATGGTTTCCATTGAGCTCCCACAGCGCAGGTCAGATTTGTTTCCCACGAGGATGATGGGAACTCTGAAATAACACATGGAGACAGGGTAACTATCATTACAACACTATCATTTCTTGTTCTGTATAAAAATGACATCACATTCCTGCAATATCAGATATAATGCAAATCAGCTGACATTCAAATAGTGTGAACTGCAAGCAGTCACACTCCCCACACGTTGGGCATTTAGCTGATGTTCTTATGTCTTATTCAGGGCGACTTAGTGAAACGAAAGAACAGGCTCAAATTCCTAGACTGCCAGGTTTGCCAACATTACATTCAAGCAGTGGGAAGGAGTGCAAAGTTCAAACGGGCCCAGGTAACACACACACCCATCAACAGCTGATACATACTTGTTGCCTTTCTCTGCGTCGCCATTAACTAAAGGTATCCATTTAGTTCTGATCTGAAAAACAAGAGGCAGCCTATGACACAAGTGTAATGTGTTTGTATTTTAAATGCATTAAGTAAAAGTGATATACAGTATGTGGAATGATAGTATGAGACAAAGACAAGGAGCAGGTCACTACCTTGTCTATCGTGTCCTCGTTGGTGACATCATACACTACACACACCACATTAGCCTACGTGGGTTGGAGAAATAACAAGTGAGAGGGACGTTACATCAAAAACAGAATCAACACAATTCAAACAACCTTTTAAACCTTTTATCAAACTTATAGAGTAATAATACTTCATTTTATATGACACAAAAAAATCTTTTAACATGACAAAAAGAAAAGAAGAATGACCAAGACCAACTAACCAGATGTAACAACAACAAAGTACAAAAGAGTTGATGTAGAAAAATACATGGAGCAAGAGAAACAACTACGAAAAAGATAAGGCATAAGATGTTTGGGGTGCTGGCCTAAATAGCTTAAAGCTCCCAGAAAATAACAAAACTGGGACAAAACAGACACAATTACATTTATTTATAAGACTCAAAGCTGTCTAATTCAACGATTGTGCACTGGGTTTTGACTTCTTGTCAAATTTACACAAAAGTTTCAACTATTAAAAAGGACAATGTTCTGCATGTTCATCAATGTGTGTGGTGTAATTACCTTGATGATCTCATCTCTAAGGACTTCATCAGTCTGCTCTTTTTCTGTTGGGGTTGAGGACAAACACATCTCAAAGTCAACAAACTGCACACACACACCATTGTGGACTGAATATTGTTGCACATAAGCCTTTAGGAAACGTTACCTGAGTAGTCCACTATATGTGTGGGCACCTTCTCCGGAGTCACGTCAGCAGGGATGGTGATCTCTTCAGCTCTGGGGGGAACCTGTAAAGAGCCATTACTTAATCAGGCTGAAGCCCCCCAAAATACAAACACATCTTCTACTTTGCATGGACACAGTTAGGATTTAAGCTCAAATGCTAGGCGATCTTCACTTTTGGAGGAAAATGTATGAACAGTAGTGAATGTACTATCATTAACACCATATGAAGTAGTAGTATCGAACTACTGTGTACGTACAATCTTACACTTCTGCCAAGAAGTGTTCTGAAACTAAAATAAGCTGCAAATCAAAATTAGCCACTAAGAATTACTCAGAAACTCAATACTGGCCACGTAGTACATAGCAGAGCGGGGTGATTTGATTTCATCACGTCAAACAAAGCCCATTACGTGACAAAAAAACCCACACTGAAGCCAACCTTTCTAGTGATTTCTAAAGTAGTCCTCTATGTTTTACAATTTGCTTTCTTTACTGCTCACAAAGGAACCAGTTTGCTTAGTGCTGACTACAGGAGAATAACTGTGGCTACAATGAGCAAACAGTGGTTAACATAGGCTACAAGAGCAGAACGGTACTGCTACTTAATATTCCCCCAGCTCTTCAGGACACAGCATCCTCCGGTGAAAAAGCACAGACACAGCAGTGGTATATAGCTGTACTGACACTTACCTCTTCTGGGAACTCCTCACCAACCAAAGACATGATGAGTGATGTCTTCCCCACCTTGGCTGATGAAGGAGACAACATGAAGAGGATGAGAGCAGCTCAAAGATACATTATATGGCCCCAATGATGAACTGTACAATGTACTATAAAGTTAGCTGACTACTATTTATGTTATCATTCATATAAATGCTCTGATATGGACTGAAGCAAACACTACTGCAGATTATTGCACCTCTACAGCTGAGTTTTTAGCCACTGTATTATTATTATTATTATTAAACTGAACCTACATAGAGGTTTTACATTTAAGCAAATGGAAAATGTGTCACTTTAAATAAAACATGGTGACATGATTGGTTCACAATGTAAAAGTTGCACGTTAAATCAGGTTAGGTGTTTAAGTTAGCTAACAGGGAAGTTTTAAAATAACCGCCAATTAAAACGTGCGTATTATGTAATGTGCCTTTCAGTGGAGCACAGCTGATCGGTTATCCGATGAAATGAACACGTTAACTAACTTCTCCATGGCTGATAACTACTAACGCAAAAGTTACTCTAGGCTAAATTAGCATAGCGGAAATAAGCTAACATTTGGAAAACGTATAAAACATTTGATTTTATCTGGTAGGAAGTAGTTATTGCAGAGACATAACGCTAAATGCTCATTTTAAAAGAGCTATCGGCACCATGCCACCAGGAGTAACCGAGGTAAATCCAGCTACAAGTTAGTTAAGTTAGCTACAACAGCTAATGTTTGCTGGCTTTTCTTTTAGCTTGTGGTCGGCTGTCAGTGGGACAGAAAGACTTACGCTCCCCCAATAAAAGTATCCTGACGTCTTGTTTCATGTTTCTTCTCTGTTTGAAGAACGGTCTTACGCGCCGCAATACTACAGTGACATTTATCTTTCATTTGAATGTCAAATTTCTAGCTACAATAAAATGTGTGGCTCTCCACAGCGATATGCACCCAAGGTGAAACCATATCATTCCGGTTCACAGAGGAGGCGGTGAAAACACGCCCCCTGCTGGTACAACAGACACACTGCAGCATAGTTTACTGCACAGTGTATGTTGTGGGACTCTCATAGGTTGCATGTAAGACGTGTAACAGACAAATACAGTGGAAGTTGAATTAAAATATTTCAAACTGAAATACATAAAATAAGCTTTTCAGTATGTTGGGTACTGATTTGTAATATTTTCTGTTTTCCACCTCTGCACAAAACTGTCATCATCTGTTTACACCTTGTGTATCCTTTCGTGTAACAGTAGCTTAAAAAGACAAAGCAGTGAAGACTGTTTCATTTTTAAGCTATTTTGAAAAGACAGATGAGATAGATTCCTGTCTTAAAGTCTAATACCTCAGTAAATATTAATAAACACACTGATTATTCTTCCTTAATAACCCCCCCCCCTCCCCATTCTGACAACACAGGCATTATTATGTAACAAGCTGAGCAAACTAATGGTCTAATTATAGGGCATGTGCATTTTATTTCAGGTGGCACACACTGTGTTATTTTTTAACATGTAAAAATAATCATGTTTCAAAAGGAAAGTTCTGCCTGAACTATCAGTCGACTGAGTCTGCAGCCCTGGGTGTCATCATTCTTTCAACAGAGCAGTGACGGAGGTGGTCTCTACAGTGTGTATGTAACATTTCTGAATACTGGAGTGGCAAACTGATGAAACCCCTGACAGAAGAGTGTCCCAGTACCAGTAATTAGGTAGCCTGTCATTCAAATTGGGAAGCCTGAATTCAAGTTCTTGTGGCAGAAAGGAAATTATGTTGGTGTGTCCGTAACAAAAATGGAAACTTAAGATCCGTGCAAAATGTTCTGAACTATGCACCTGTAATACACCATTCTGGTGGAAAGACAAAGTAAAAATGTTGGCTCTGACAGTGTCTCCTTGTTTATGTGTGCTTGCACCATTGATGGACTCATTTTATATTACAGACAACTGTAATTTTTCAAGCTGCATTTTATTTAAACCCCGTCCCAATCCCAGAGCAGCCTACAAACCATAATTATCTACCACTGAAAAACAACAGACATGACAGCAACTGCTAATCACTCATCAGTATCCATATGCGTTCTAACTCACAGTAAGAAAACCTAAAATAAATTGTCAAACATTAGACGTCACTGGACACAAAACAATCCCTTCAACATGTTAAAATGAATATTAATGCATTTTAAAACCATACATGTGAAATATAAACTCAGATGTGGCAAATCTGACAGAAAACATCTCCCAAAATTACAACTATTTCCCTAGAAATATTTGTTTGATAAAAAAATATCTATGGAACAATAAAATTACATAAATTAATAGAAACTAGGCACTTGTGTGGGGGATAAACCTACAAGGTTTGAGGTGCATAAACAGATCTGTGGCCCTTAGAGGCCCTGCACCTCCCACAGCAGGATCTCATTATAAGCTACAGTGAAAAGAAGCAGCCCAGAGGGAGAGAAGTGACACATATGCACTGAGTCACTGTGTTGCATGAAGTCCTGGAACCTGCCGCTGGTCGACTTGATCAACTTCAACACTCGCTCTAATGAGAGATTTAAAACAAAATGAGAAATTAATTACAAACAAGCTCCAAACTTACACTAGTGAAATCTAATCTCCTCACTGGAGATGTATGGTAATAAAAATAGAGTTTACCTTTCGATCCCACAGCTACAAGTTGACTCTTGCAGGAGAGGCTAAAGCATGTGGCCCAGTGGGGCAGGGCAATCTTTTTTATTATCTGTTATTAAAAAACAAACAAATAAAAAAACAAAATACTGCATGACATAACACGTGATTACACAGACGTGTGTGAATATTCTGGAAAGACCAACACCGGTGGCCGAGGAGTGACGCAGGGGGAGCTGTTGTACCTGTTTTTTAGCCAGGCTGTAGAAGGACAGCTCTTTCTCTACTCCGTAGCCAGTGTAGACCACCAGGCTGGGGTCTGCGGGGCAGAAGGCAGCCAGGCTGGGAGGTGGGCTGTCATCCTACAACACCAAAGGTTTACAAAAACTCCTACAGGTCAAACATGGTCTGAGCTTAATTTTTTTGAGATTTCCAAAACAGGTTACAACAATATGCTGAAAAATGTAAAAATAATAAATAAACTATTAACATGCATTTAGAATAAAATGGTATTACTTAACATTACTTGGTTACCCGCATTGTGCAACGTGTTTGAATTTGAATGGACTTGCCAGAAATATGACATTACCTCCTTTTCAGGGTTGTGTGCAATATTGCTGAATGGAACGTAATTTGAGACAGTGCAATAGTGTGTATCATGTGCGTAATACACACTCACAAACAAAGTTGTGAGCCCTTTAAAAGTAAGCCTTATTGATGCACTGAATACTTTACATCAGCAGGACAATGATGCAGTCCTGTGTAATTACTAGATACATTTACAGAGAAGTTCCAGAGTATTATATGGCTAAAGGGTTAGGGGTTGAATATCAGTCTTATAATTAGATGTTACTGAGTACACATGAGCCTTACCAATAAAAGATATACAGCAGCACTCAACATATGAAAAAATCTGAAACATATGTCAATTTATGTATGTAGCAAATGTATTCACTAATTTATTGGTATAGTTTTAAAAAGATTTCCCACGAGGGCGTAAAATGAAAGAAAACAATTAAGGAGGATATTAAATCAGTCAATTTCACACCGGTGAAACAAGTAAATTGCACATTCACACCTGGAAGCTACCCAGTACAACAACATTCTAATCAAATTAGTAATTAAATACAGATGCTGACAAATGAAAGGAATGACCTGAATAAATAAGTGGAAAATGTAGATGCTTGCACACTGCATGGTACAATTAAGCAATTACCACTGACTCATGCTCTGTGACATGTGAGCAGGCCCAGTTAATTCTGATTTTGTATTAAGACGGCAAAAGGAAAATATCTAAGTGACTTCGAAAAAGGGTTTATTGTTGATGGCAGGAGCTTCAGTCACAAAGACTGCTAAACTGGCTTTAATAATAAAAGTTTTTAGTATTATATGGCTAAAGGGTTAGGGGTTGAATATCAGTCTTATAATTAGATGTTACTGAGTACACATGAGCATTACCAATTAAATATATACAGCAGCACTCCACATATGGAGTGACAGTCCTAGTCATTACCATGTACTGCTACTTAAAATACAGACGGTACCCCAAAATAGGCCGGAGCAGGAAATGTCAGCCAGTCGAGCAGATCACACTTGTCCTTTAACCAATCGGCAGCCCACACGCTGACGCGTCTGTCAGCACTGGCAGCCAACCACATCTCGTTTCCTTCCAGTCCGAAATTCTTACACTGAGGATTGGAAGATAAAACAGCTTCAGAATCACGCCGATGTAAAAAATGTCATAATATGTCACAAGAATCAAAGGAAAAATTTCAGAGAGCACTTTTTTCCCCCCTCCATTTAAATAGCATCACATACGATCCACAACCTTGTAGCTATGGAGAGCTAATGAATGTCGGACCATTCTTCTGTATGAGGGGCATGTAGAAAAGCTGTCAACAGCACTTGTACTGGAGAAACCACTTAAGTGCCACTTCATTTATCAACTGACATGATATGA